CATCCCATCATGTATTCCGAAGGGCCACTCCGCAGCTGGTAAAAGAGGTGACGGGAAAGCACTGGGTAGAGACAATTATAACATAAAATGTGCAGTAAAGTTCACTTTGCCCTTGCAAAACGGTGGTGTTTATTTGATACCTGTCTGCTTGGGGGAATCACTGTATTGTGGCTTGAGATGTAACTCTCCCTTGGCCACAGGGATAGATTCTCCCCTGGTGGTCCAGAGAGGTGTACATTAGAGCTCTCTGCACACGCTGGAGACCCTGTGTTTCCGTGGGGGGATGTTGCCCCATCTTGCCCTCTTTCAGGGATTCCACTCTGGGATGGTGACTACACTTGCGCCAGGGGATCTCTTGAGTGCTTCTTTTCCAGCCAGCCCTGCCCACATTTTGGGCTGTGCTGGGTCCCCCTACCTGCCCCCATGGCAGAGGGGAAGTTGCCACCTCCCCCACAATGGGCTTTCTACTGCTAGGAGCCTTCCCCCTGAGTCTGTGCAGACAGATGAACGAGGGTATAAGGATTAAAGCAGGGCTGGCCCCAATGGATCCATCTAACAGGATTCGTGCTGGGATCTGTTTTATACACGGTCAACTTTTTGGTGCAATAATATCAAGTTCAGGAATTCTCTGGCCCAGCTGCACTCAGGGGCCTTGCTGTCTACGTAAGCTTTGGGGACACTGCTTGCCCACTGGTCCCATTTGGGTTGCCCCCTTTTTTTCTGCCCATAAAATCAAACGGTCTGAGCTGTAACAGCCTGTAAGGAGTTAGATCCTTCACATTAGTCGTCATTTGACTGGTTTCACGGATTTGGCATTGCTTGCTCCAGAGATAGAATGAATACTCTGCATCGACCACTGGCTGCTAGGGAGCTGTGGGTGTTCAGCCCCACTGAGGCTCAAACCCTTTATTCCCAGCATCAAGCCACTTGTGCAGGAATTCTGCTTTTTTTCTGCAGAAGTTCTGCAGGCAGTTCAGCTACTCCCTGGTATCCAAATGGTACTGGATTGAACAATGCATAGCTGCAGAATGCATGGGGTTGGCTTAGTTCTCGCACCAAGAGTGGTGAAAGGCAGGTGTTGACGTGGTGGTGGGTCAGTAAGAGAGGAACAGGTGTGGGGAGGCCCCCTTGGTATTTGTGTTAAAGACTATTTCAGTGTAACAAGCTCCATGTAGCCTGGAATGTCATGTCATCTGGCAATGTCTAGTGGTTAGCAAATGCACATGGGAGGTGAAGTCCAGGTTCTAATCCTCTCGGCGCTGCTGATTTGTCATGTGACTTGGACAAGCCACCTGACCCTGTGGAGGATAATATCAGCCACCGTGGAAAAGGGCTTTGAGATTTTTAGGTGAAAGGTGCTTCTGAAGTGCAAAGCAAGAATTGTTGCTATTACACATTGAGATGCTGCTTTGATGACAGTTGGGCATGCCAGGGAATAATAGCTACAAATTGAGGTCCCTGTCTCCTGGCCACACATAGGCACAATTGCCAACTTCCATGTGGTAAATATGCACCCCGACTTTCACAATAAACCAGAAATCAAGCTAGTCCCATTTCAAAACAAGGCCAAAACAAGCCAATTCCTAAGAACCCCAACACCCTATATAACTAGATACTCCTGTCGTGCAACCTGGAACTGTGGTGGGCCCGCTGTGCACCCCTGACTCTCTCCCGCCCTTGCCCCTGCTTGCCGGGAGCCGAACAAAAAAAAAGAAGCAACAAGCTACAAGCCAAAACTAGCCAATAAGCAACTCACAAACCAATTAAGTAAAAAACAAGCCCAATTTATGCGTTTTTTTCCACACATTTGGCATGTCTGCAGACAGGCTGCACTGTGTGGTCTGCTAATTTCCTGCGCATTTATGCTCTTCACATTCTTTTCTTGTAGTTATGTTTTTAAAAATGCTGCACAGCCACTGTATTTGCTTTTCAGTCTAAAACCAGTCTTTACAATAACCTCCCATATGACAACTCTTCTGATTTCCTATCTGCAAATTAAGCATTGATCAGCTGAAACAAAGCTTTCCTGTAGAGGACAGCAAAACCTCCCTCTGCTACATCCCAGACACTTAAATCTCCTCCTTTCTAGGGCAAGGAATGGGGGACAGGAGTTTGGCTAAAGAGGCTTAGGCCTGGGCTACATTTAAAACTTAGGCTGACCTAGTGACATTGCTCAGAGCTGTGAAAAATTTTGCACCTTGTACGATGTAGTTAGGTTGACCTAACCCCCACTAGACATCGCTAGGTCGATGGAATAATTCTTCTATTAACCTAGCTACTGCCTCTTGGAGAGGTGGATTAACTGCATCAATTGATGAACTCCTCCTGTCGGTGTAGCAAGCATCTGCACGATGGTGCTACAGTGGCACAGCTGGACCGCTGCATTTGTGCCGCTGTACTGTAGACATATCCTTAGATTTTGAATTTAAATCCTCTTTGTGAGTGCAGTTTTTTCACCTGTGGCCAGGGGGAAGATTTCCACTCCTAGGGAGAAATCCCTTTCCACTTCTGGGATGGCTTGGATACTATAGTTACTGAAACATTCCCCGTCTACTTAGCTCCCTCCTTAAAGATGTTCCTCTTGCTGTTCTAAGCTGAGACAGGTTTCATTGTCAGCATCTGGCCACATGCCCCTCTGTATATTTCTTGACATGTGCTTCTCCATAGTAGACCCCAATCTGAATGCTGGTAGGAATAGTAAGACATTGAGACCCGTGCTGCTGCTCCATTCATATAGAGGGTGTCTAACCACAAGACCTTTAGAGTGCTTTGTGCTACAGTTTCAATGAAGTCCCGATATGTCCCATATTTCTGTGACCTTTTGTTTTCAATTCTCTCAGCTGCAGAGGTGCCTCTTATAATGGCTCTTACCTGCTGCCTCGGTACTTTCAGCTTCAGGGCTGCGAGCTGGGGATTCCCTCTGGTACAGGATTTTCTCCCACTCGAATTTGTCGATGTCTTTAAATTTCAAACTTAAATGTCACTTATTGCTGTTGGTTTGTGCTTTAAGCCAGCTGCTCTTGTCACAGAGGAACTTGCTTCATGAGGTGAAGCTAGTTTTTTGGGAGAAGAGGGAGGAGGGAATTCTCCTTGCACAGCCTTTGTCCATTCCTAGAAGTGAAATGTTGGTTTTTTAAAGATTTGTATACGTTCAGATAGTTTGGAAAGAGTCTGGTGGGTCTCAGTGCAGGCTTCAGCAGGAGTCTGCAGTACAGAAACCTTGCTGTATTTGGCACTAATGCAGTTATCAACAAAATAAAAAAAGCAAGCCACAGATTGAATGGGCACTGAGATTTGAATACCCGTTTCCAGCGGATTATCATTGTTACAGCTCTTGTCATATTGGAAGCTGATTTGTTTACTAGATCATTGACCAGCTAATGCTAAGAGATTATTGATGTTTTGCCTATAGAAATAATTTACCTAAAACTACATTTTAGCAACTAAACTTACCAGAAGATTGGAATAAATAATGCCACTCTACGTTGTATTTCTGTCACCCCAGATGCATGCACATTGTCATATAATTATGCCGTTTCATTGCTGAATGTTAAGTGTTGAAGGCTAGAATGGCGTTGCCTCAGTAACGCTGCTCAGTGCTTCTGTCCTTGGAGCTCCAGTGTTCTCACTACTAACAGCTGATAAGGCAGCCTGCTAATTCAGCAGACATCTATGTTACTCAGAAAAAAAGACCCTAGGCATGGTTCGGTGACAAAGGTGCCCAGCCAGGTTTATTGCCCTCAAGGCATAGTCCTCGTGCCCTGGCTCCGTGGTTACAGGTACACTAACAAATGAGTGCCCAGTGGCAAGGAATGTTTCAGTCAGCAGCAGAAATGTCTGCTGTCCCCTAGGCCACACAAAGGGTTAAGGCGAGATACCCCAACATTTATAGACTGGAACAAACAACTGGGATAAATGTCTTACATACTACTTTACATGTTTCATGACAGCTGTTTACCTTCCCTTGTTCCCGATATCTCGGACAAAACATCCCTATTCATTATTTTGTCAAACCAACCTACCTTGTACTAGATTGGGATGTATCTGTACTAGCTGGAATACATTTACGTACCTATCTAGTACCTAGTCAACTAGCAACAACTTTGCCAAGTTCATGTACCGGCGGCTTATCTGCTTTAATACATGGCCTGACTTTGGTTTGCGGCCTCTCGTTCAGGCCTGAGATCTTGCACCAGGGCCAGTGCTCCAGGCTCTCTCTCTCCTACACTGAAGTCATGCCACCACTTGGGTAGAATAAGCCAGCTGCTTAGCCTAGAAGCTGTTTGGGGCAAGGCTCTTTGTTCAAAGTTTGTGCAGCACCTAGCACAGTGCGTCCTTTTCCCGTGTCTCCCTAGGCACTACTGCAAGACAAATAATGGGCACGCAAAATAACGAACGGGAGAGGACAGGGGTCCCTATTCTCAGAAGAGTGCACAATGTCCATGAAAAGCTGAGAGGACCATAGCTTTGACATTGTCTGAAAGCCCCACCCCCTGACACACACATATAGAGTTAAGTTGCATGGAATTTGATGTATTTGCTGCTGGAGGACAGATAATGGGTAGGTATAACCAGGAATCACTGCAGGGTCATACTTCCCCATGTTGCATTGCAGACTCACTAACAGCCTTGGTTACACATAGGTTAGCTGTTCACTCATTCAGATGCCAAAGCGGGGTGGGGAAGGATCGTGGGAATAATAAGGAGGCAGGCCAAGAGAGATAAGGAAAAGAGAGCTCTTAACACACCTCTCTCTGCAAATGTCCTGAGGACTCCAGAACAGAGAATAATGGTGTGTACAGAGGAGGTGTCTTAAAGCACACAGAGGACACAAGATACTTAACAAACAGAACTTCCAAGAACTTCCACATGTTCAGTAGGTAGTTGTTTAAGGAAATATGTTCCCTTGCCTATAACGATGATAAATCACTTTCTGCATCATGCCGTGCCTGGAGTTGGGAGTAATGTTGTTGTTGGGTTTTTTTGCCCCTCTCTCGTAGATCTCAGACCTGATACGACAAAGCACAAAGGAGTCACCGCTGTGGGAGTTCCTCAGCCTGGGCTACGCACTCATGCTCTGCCCGTTTGTCGTCGTCCTCGGAGGGATGTTTTTCCTGGCCACGGCCCTCTTCTTTCTAAATGACCGCACCAAAGCTGAACAACAGTGAGTAGCCAGGCAACCAGGAATGGGGGAGGGAGGGGAGCATGTTATCTCATACCACAGTTAGGTTTGGAGTGTTTCACCAAGCCCTTCCAGGTAAAGGATGCAGCAGAGCACATGATGCCGCAAGAGGCACTGGGAATTAGTTATGCTGGTTTTGAATCCTTCATAAATTTCTGCTTCCAGGGGTTCTCAACCATGGGCTGCAAAACCCTGGAGCTAGCATCTGATTTTAGACTGCAGCCTCCTTTTGATCTTTTATTGCGTGGGTGTGTCCAGGGGGCACTAGAATCCTGTCCATTTGGATTAAGGTGGAGCATTGCATTCTGGGAACTGTACTCTCCCAGGGCCACCTCTCCACATTAAAGCAGAGGATGAATGTGAGCCACATTGTAGATCTCAGTGGTTACACAATTGGGCCACCTTCGCACTACTCGGTATGTGAAAGGGTCAAAAGGAACAATTGAGAAAATTAAAAACATTGTGTCTGTGTGCGTGGGGCGGAGGGGAGATAATACATATATTACGTCCTGAATTGTTACGTGAAAGATGGTCTTTCCTGGTTCCTAATTACAGCTGATAAAAAAAAAGCTACGTGTTTTTCAGTAAGGAAACCGATTCAGATCACTGTTGGCAACTACAGTAACTCAGAAGACGCTTCCACATGACACACGGTTTTGGGGTTAGTCTTTTTCTCGTAATCCTTGCACAAACCTGTGAGTGTCTGTGTATTATGTTCGCGTGGGGAATACTGGCAGTGCCTGGGCCGCTCTTTGCCTGAGAGCGGCCTTTGCGTTAAGAAGCAGCCTTTGCTGCTTGTTAAGAAGGAGGTGACGTTATTCGCTCTGAGAGAGGCCCCATCTGCATTAAGGAAACTTGCAGTGGGGCAGCTACATTGATGTAGCTACGTTGCCCGAATGCAGCCGACCTCGAGAGGGTTCAGGATGCCGCTGCCCCAGTGCCGGCTCCCGCGCAGCACGTCTGCATTAGGGGCTCGTGCCGGTGTAATAACACTGCTATTGTTACACCAGTTCAAATCTCCTCAATGCAGAGAGGTCCAGAGCCTTAACAGGGCCAAACGTGTGTCTGCCTGCAAGCCAGGCTCAGGGTAGGGAGGAAAAACCCTGTTCTAATTTAAAAAAGCCCCGTGTCCCAACATTATCACATATGAGAAATCTAAGAGCAGAGTGAAGTGCTGGGAGTACCTCACTTTGTGAATAGCTAGAAGCACTTTCTGGCTCACAAGGCAGTTGATAACGGGGTCTGGGTTGTGCACAAGGCTAGCTGGATCTCTGTGGTTCTGCCATTCCTCTTTATTAGTCCCTGGGGATCATTGGCCTTTTGGCTAGGCGCTGTACGGATACGCAGTCAAAAGGCCCCCAAAAGCTCACAATCTGGGTTACGTCAAGACGCAGCAAGTGAATGAAAGAGCCAGCTGATGGGTGGAGAGAGAAGACAGGGTGGCAGAGAGCCAAGATGTCACATTAAGCAAAGGTTTCTGTTTCTTCGCCCTCAGACCTTTTTTCATGAGTCACCAATAATTGTGGGAAGGGACCTGTTTACAAGTTGTCTTCTAACCAATATGCAAGGGGTAGCCTGGACAGGACCCTGTCATGTCCCTTGTAATTGAATTACAGCCTTGCACAGTCAGAGACTTTAACCTGGCTTTGGGGGCGTGATTTTGTCCACCCCGCACTGTCGCTTTTAGCGGTATGTTACCCTGTCTCCTGACTCTGTTAGAGTCGTAAAGCAGATGGTGCCTAGCTGTGAATCAACGTGGTAATCGTCGGGGGGATGCAGTGAGGTGAACGGATGCTTCTAATACAGCAATAGGAACTCAGGCTGGCTTTCGTTGCCGGACAGTCCAGGGTGATAACTGGATTTAATAATAACATGTAACATTGCCATGTTATGAGTTTAAAGAAATCTCATTCTTCAGGGGGGTTGGCAGCAGTGTGAATCTTTGCTTGTGGACCCCATCTCTGTTGTGGGAGCAGCCAGTAGTGCTGAGCAACCTTCTCTGCACTTAGTTCAGTATGATCCTTCATCCTCAGTTGTGCACGTGAATAACTAGCACCTGCATTAGAGGATTAGAGTGTGGGAGAAACAGCTTTCAGGCAATGGCAACTCTGAAGCACCAGCCCAGTCCAGACCCCTTGGTGGCTGGTGAATTCTCTGCAGTGTCTGGCTAGTGTTATGGTTCCGGAAGAGCCCTTATTTGGTCCAAAAAAGGAGGGTGCTTCTCAGCTTGTATTGAAAATGCCCATGCTGTTAGCTGACCTCGTCTCGGTGCCAGTGTGCAGTGGCATATTTTACCCGATCCTTTTACAGCGCAGCCCTGCAGCATGCAAGATCCATTGGCTGAGGTGACTTGATATATGCAAACCAAATCCTAAGGGACGGCAATAAATATAAATCCTAAGGGACGGCAATAAATATAAATTGCTTGTATCTAGATGGTTCTCTCCACCCTGAGCAGAGCCTTCCCGTATTCTGCTCACGTCCAGAACCACCCAGTTTCCTTCCCCTTAGTCATTCCATTTATCAAAGCAACAAACACAGACCTCCAACCTATTTTTACTTCTGTCTCCCCTTCAGCATCCTTCCCCTTTCCATTCTGTCTGACTCGCATCTGGTTGTGTATTACTGATATTTAGCTAGCGCTCTGTCGTGTGCAATTGCTGAGTGGCTCAGATAGAATACAGATAGAACAGTTACTATAAATCATGGCTGGCGAAGCAAATTCTCTGCTTTTCCGTCAGCTGGGTTTTCAATATGCCCATTAACAGTTATTCCCGTGTTAAAAATACCCTACTGTCCTACAGTCACGCTCCAGGACGGTGTTGCTTACTGCAATGTTTTGGACCATTACTGAGGAATACTACTGTATTTTTAATAAGTATTAGTAACCTTTGAGTTCTGATCTGAGCCACCATCAAGCCACAACGCCTCTTCCCTCCTCCCACTCGCCATCTGCGGTGGGCATGCTGTCTGTGTTGTCAGCCTGTTCCTGATTTGCTCAGCAGCATAGATCCTCTGGCAGGTCCCATTGGAACAGGTGCATTTGAGGTGGGGGTGGGAGGAGCAGGGCTTGGGAGTGGCTGAACACATAGCAGTGATAAGAAGAAGGCTGAGCGCCTTGGGATTAGGATCTCCAGCTGCCAGCTGTATACGTGCTTCCTGGGTGGTGGAAACAGGCAGTCTGTACATGGCATTATGGATCTTCAGCTAGAATAGTTTCCTTGCCTGGCCAGTCCCCACTTCCATGCACCCATTATAGGCTGGGCACAGAGCGCTGCTCTTTCAGGAATCCATGTTCTTCTCTACCAAGGATCCCACCGATCAGTCATCGGGACTCCCAAATGTGCCCTGCCAAGTGAAATTGATTAACCTGCAGGAATTGAAAGCCCCAGTGTCACGCCTGAGATTAAACCCATTCATCACAGGTAGGGTCAGGTTACAAAGGCTGGAGGTCACAGCCCTGACTAATGAATAAATATGGGGGCCAAGAGGTGTAATTCTGTGGCCTGGAGTCCTCTTCTGCTGAGGGAGAAGGGAGAGATGGATCTGTCCTATCTCTAATTGCCAGGCTAAAAGACAGTTCAAGGTTTATGGCTTGTGCTTGGGTATTTGCTTAGGAAAAATTTCCTCATCCAGGCAGCACAAGCTGTAAATAGAGCAACCCGCTGTGACCCCTTTTGAAAAGCTGCACTGCAGTTTCCGCCACACTTCCTTTTCAGAAGAGAGAATGTAAAAGATGAAACCTGTCACTCCCTCGCAGTGTCTTTATGCTCCTTGTGTCACCACGGCAGCTCCTGGCCTACTTTGTGAATTACTTTTTTTAGCATGTTAAATCCAGTAGATAAAGCTTCCCCCCCCACACACACTGTAAAGACGAATCAGAAAAATCTCATGATAAGAGCAATACAATGAATCTTCTCCTTTCAGATGAGATTGTTCTCAAATACTGGGTCTTTCACATACATAACAGGGCCTTGGAAATATACTAGCTGCAAGAGGTTTTCAGTAAATTTAGGAATGACACAAGAGAACAATCTGGACATCATTTAGTCCATAATGTAACCTAATTACTTTTGGTGTTTTCATATATACATAAAATATAACCCCCCAATCCTTCCCCGCCCAACAAGAAAAAGTGATCAGAGAGAGAGGGATGACTACAGAGTCTTAGCTACCTATAGTAATTAAAATTCTCTCAATCCTTTTTGAAGGAACAGGCGTATTAGTTTTGGGCCTTGGTCACATTCAGACTTGGGTCAGTACATTGTTCACCTGAAATTTCTCCTGTTGTTGCACTTGAATGAATAAGATGTCACTTCCTGTTTTGCGGTGTCATGGTGCACTGTTAAACAACTGTTGTGTTGCTCTCTGGGGATGGCTGCAGGTTATTTGTGGGTGGACTGATCCTCCTAAAATATCCCTACCTAAGTCATAAAGGTGTGGTGCGGCTTAATTAATGTACGTGAAGTCTGAGATTCTTTCAGCAGTGTATACAAGTACAGTGTTGTGACTGCATAGCTGAGTACATACAGCACCTGAGTGTAAATTTAGTGGTGGGGATTTCACTCTTAGCTCTGCCACTGCCGTCCTGTGGGACCTTGGGGGAAGTCAGTTCAAGCCTGATTTTCTGACATGCGAGCATCTGCAGCTCCCTGGACTTCACTTTTTGTTGCGTGCTCAGCACTTCTGAAAATCACATCCTTCGCCTGTCTGTAAAGCAGATAACCCCTGGAAAATAAATATTTGCCCACCCCTATGAAGCACGTAGAGCGCCATGGAAGAAATGCATTACGTTGGTGCTCCTTAATTAGGGAGAATCTTTTATACCACTCTTCATAACAAACAGAATAAGGGCCATTTCCCACATTACTAGGAATGTTGGGTACAGGCTCCTGCCAATACATGGCCTTATACCAGTCAATACATAGACCCACATGACCACTTTGCATTCACTGGACGTCTTTTTCATATGGTTCGTGCTGATCTATTATACATCTAAAGATTGACCCTCCCGTGGGAAGAACCATCTACTCTGTCTCCTCCTAGACATAGGACCAGAGGAATTGCCAAATTGGATCGGACCTGTGGTCCATCTAGCCCAGAACTCCATCTCCAGCAGTGGCCAGTGCCAGATGCTTCAGAGGAAGGTGTGAAAGGACCCCACAATAAGCAGTTGTGGGATAATCTGCTGCTCATGAAGGTCTCCTTCTAATTCCCGGTGTAAGCCCCAAAGCATGAGGTCTTACATCCCTTCCCATGCTTTTTTAGCATTAACTATTATAACGCTGGATATTCTTGTTATCCATATAATCAGCCAGTTCCTCTTTGAATCTTGCATGATACATGCACAGTCAGGTTTTTACAAGATGTATGACAATGCGGATCAGGCAGCAGGATGCAGCTGTTGTACGTATCCCCAATGCAACCACGAACAGGAGTAAGGAATTGCCCAGATGCAGCTGGCTTAAACAACAGTGTAGGTATTTAACTAGATAGCACACTGAGGCAATTTCAAAGGGACTCATGAGGGTAAATAATTCACCTGTTAGCTCATGTTTTCAATAAAGGATAAGGCCACCTGAAAGGCTCCGTTTTTCCCTCCCTGAAATATTTGCAATGAAAAATTAAACATTTTATTTAAAAAAAAAAAAAAAAAATCCC